TGGCGGTGGTCAAAATCAGACCAAGAAATCAGATAGTCTAAACGGACCTTAAGAGATTTTAGACATGTGAAACCATGATTTATTCTGTCTTGATCTTCCAAACAGAGTTGGACTCAAACATATTATCAAAATGATATTTTATCTTTGAAAGCATATTGTTATCAAATTTTGATATATCGTTTTATCGAAATAGTATAGACAGGTTTCTAACTTGTATTTATATTCTTGAATTAACACAAATACCAAAAAAGAATGTAATATTGATTGACGTAATGCATGTTACTGTATGAATAACTAATGTGATTGCAAAAACCAAATACAGTATTACACCCATGGATATAATTTCTTTTCGCAAATTATGTGTAGGATAAATGCACCAATAGTGGAGGTACTTTGGTGTAATATGTTCCTATGTGGCTTATAGAGTCTCCCTAAGCCGCTATAGAAGTACATTGTACTAACGTACCTCCACTATTGGTGCATTTACTAAACATAAATTGTACAAATTAATATTAAATAACCTATGTGCATCTGTTCTGCTGTAATATTCAATAACTTTTTTGCTGTGCCGACTTATAAGTACCAACGCCCAAGTTGAACAATCGAAAATAACATAAATCAATATGTACATAAAAGGGATTGCAGATGGATAAATATATAAAATAATAATGTGTATAATTTGTATGCACCTGGAATTTTTTTCATTCGACCTGGAAAAACCTGGAAAACTCAGGGAATTTGATTCCTTGGATTGAGTAGACACCCTGTTTAATCTCTCGATAGCCGGCTATCGAAAGAACATATTCATTTTGTTTAGTGATCATGAATTTTAAGAGTCATGACGGAGAGCTTGAGATTAAACCCCTGATTTTCTGCTCAGTAAGCAAAAACGATCCCTCCAGGGTCATCGAGCATCTCAGAACCATAACGCTTCACGACAATACAGGACTACGTTTTCGGTTGATATGCAAATAGTTTCCGAGGTTAATGTTCAATATCAAATATACAAATGATGGTGGTGATTTATTGTGCTGTGGAAGAGCTTGGGGTTAAATCCGAAAAAAAAAACTTTCAAAGGTAATTACAAGTAAAATAAATATTGATTATTTTTCGCAAAAACGAGCAAGTAATATTAAATCTCTTGTATCGTATGCTAATGCTAATTGAGTGTAACAAAAACACGGAGCCGTGAATTGTAGTTTTATCATAATTTTAATATTAGCATAAAATAAAATAGCAATTTTAAATCCGCTTTTGTAATGCTAAGGTTTTTTTTTTTTTTCTTTATTTGAGAGATTTTTAGCCATAGGCTAGTTCATCTCTTATAATGCTAAGGTAAATAGTTTGCTTTGAGTGTAAAGTTAATTTATAAGAAAGTTCTAACAGTTTTTTTTGCACTTCGAAACTTGACGGGTCATACCTCTAACATAGTAGCAGTGACAGTGTCGCATGTCCTAACAACAACTGCCTGCGACTAGTGTTCGATGGGCCGACAGGGCTGAATAAGGGACAATACTAACAAAACTAAAACACTAACATAACCCCGAAACTAACGTTCATCCATTGCACTAATAGTTATAATGTAGTTGTACTTTCCTAATAACCCATCTATCACAGACAAACAAACATAACACTCGCAGGTTGTTCATCGAACACGCATTTGACGGTCAATTTGAGTGTTTTTGGTTGGTGGTGCCGCCACCTGAAGCAGCCGATTTCCACAAGGAAGTTCTATTAACAACCAAGAATTAATCGTTTGAGGCATACTGAAGCATTAAGAAGGTGATATGTGTCACTATTTGAAATCATCATCGTTGCAAATATAAACAAATTAAACATAACCCTTTGCTTCAGTACCGTCAACCTCCATGTCCATGGGGAGGGTCCTAGATTGGAATTCTATAGCATAACATAAATTTAATGGTCCAACTTGAGAGCGTTAAGTTATATGTTAGCTCTATAACTAGCTTGCTGGTTTTATTCGGTACAACGAATCAAAATAAAACCAATACCATGAAAACCTGTCAAAAAGTCAACATTCCAAGTGATCCTCCTATTTTCTCTTGTAATCAAGATGTAAGAAATGCTAATTGGATCCACTAAAAGCTTTTTTCAATACAAGGTTTAAATCCGTGATGCCAATACTGGCCATCTCCAACCGGAATTAGTGAAACTGTCTGCGTTGTTTTAAGAAGGGTTCGTGGATCTTTCGGAAGTGTATCGGAAAGCTGCTTGTTCAATATTTTTAAGAGCTCCTTCACCGCACTGTGTCTTATGTTATATGAGGGAGCCCATAACTGTAGATTCTCCAGGAGTTTGATATTGGCGATCGTCTCATTTTCATCGTGTTCAAAAGCACTGAAGGGGTTTTCATTTCATGTATCTGAATAGATTTGTTTTTTTTTTTTATATTGGTAACAATTTTCGGAGCATGTTTTGTTATTGTTGCAGCATATTTCTTATCTGTGATGAAGGTCTAAGATTGCTTCAAGTTTTATATCGGTCATACAAAGTATGCCATAAAACATAATTGTATGTTTTGTTTTGGCTTTATTCTGCAGTTATAAGTAGTGATACAGAACCACCTAACAGCTACCGTTAAAACTATGAAGTCTGAGTTTTAATTTAGTAGTCATAAAACAGTTTTATAGACGACTTGACGGCCTGATTTTATGAAAAGCACTCAAAACCGTAATACAACCACAGGCTGCAAGAGATGCTACACAGCAAAAAAAAAGTAATATCGATCAATGTAATTCAAGCTGATGTATGAAATAATGATGTAATAGCAAAAAGCAGATACAATATTACATCAGTGGATGTAATTTTGTTCGCAAAATCGATGTACATCCTACAACGTTATATAACACAACCGACGGATTGACCTGGTGGCAGCAGTTTGGATGTAATATTCAACAACTTTTTTTTTCTGTGTATGATAAAACAATGATAAAATAAGAATAAATCTTCCAAGCATTTAGATTGTTACTTGGGATGGGACTGATATGCGATTGGATGGGCAGTGTATGTTGGAGGTTTAATGAAGATTTCTTTTTGTAACTTCCACGGGAATTCAGCGGTTATGCGAGGGGCAACTCATTTTTTCCGTACATTACGTGGTGTTAAGATGGGGATATCTGAAGTTTAGCATAATTTTTTTCAATTTTTTTCCAGAATTTAACTTCATATAACTACCGAAAACTCCGCTCACTTCCTTGATTATAAGATTCTTCCTGCTCCTATTCAAGTCATCCTTCATCTTGGCAACGACCACATTTCCTTTTCTAGCTCAGTCTTTCACAGTTATATTGGTAGCGCTTCGCCACCAGGCAGATTAGTAATTGGTGTTAGATGATTTTCCAAATCGATTTAACACCAATTACGATATTTTCTTAATTAAATCACACGCGCATTAAATTCGCTACAATACCAATCAATCGTTCAAATATTGCCAATTCAGAGAAAAAATAGTATTTGGTGTCAGATGATCAGCTTTAATAGCATACTATTGGCTATCAGTTGCGTCGAATTATTTTCCCTGAAACGGCAATACTTATCACATATTTTGAAGAAAAAAAACAGCTAAATTCTTGACAGCTCATGAAAACCCAACCATCCGTGGGCTGAGCCTGCTGCGATCCTCCAAAATCTGTGCATAAATTACATAAAAAGCTTATCATCAAGAAGTTTAAAAATCTGACCAAAAGTTGTCAATTTTTATGTGTCCATGGTTTTAAATACTCCAACAGTTTGCATTTAGCTTCAAAGGCTTTAATTATTTAAAAAAAAATATAAATATCGAAGATATATTTTTTGAGATATTTCAGTTCTTGACACTTTTTTAAATGTTTAACTTAAAATTACAACAACAAAAAATACCGTGTATTGTCTCCCAGAAAGACTTTACTTTTAAACAACTTAGTGTAGTATCTACCCTGTTCAGAGTAATTAATAATTAGAGTGTAATCAATCAAGATACAAAAAGAGACTCGAGATGAGAGTCCAGAATAAAGAACTAGGCCAGTCTAGCATGAGCCGTTGGACTGGCCTAGCTCTTTATTCTGGACTCTCATCTCGAGTCTCTTTTTGTATCTTGATTGATTACACTCTAAATCATTAATTACTCTGAACAGGGTAGATACTACACTTAGTAGCAGACGTTTATTGAAATGCCGTTTTCGTGCTACAATTTATTGAAAATGTGAAAGATGTAATTTTTTTAATTATAAGATCCAAAATGGCCGAATTTTTGCAAAAATGTGAATGATTGGCCATAACAAACAATTATGCAAAGTTTAATGTAAATCGGAGAAGATTGAGTCAAAAAGTGTATTTGTTCTGTCCTATTTTGCCTGGAACTGTTTTGGTATTAGCTTGGTTTGATTAGGTCACAATTTACCCTGCATTATTATTTATAAGTTATAAGTTTCTAATTCAGCAAAAGCGCAGAGAGTAAATTTAATCATTATATTATACCGTCAAAGTTACCCGCATTATCAAAGATACCCCGTTTTACGGTACGTAAAAAAAAGTAGATTTTAATTCTAGTAATAAACTGTATTTGTTTTTGCGTTGTAAAAATGAAATGAGAAATGCTCGCTGCACATCTCGGACTTTAAGGGTAAACATTCATTGGCGTTGATTCTCATATTAAGATTTACCTGCTCTTTGCATGCCTATAGGGTAAACGCTTCTATAGTTGCGGTACGTTAGAAGGGTTAAGTTCCTATAGTTGTATATTGAATCTCCATGCACAACTATAGGAACCTAACGTTTCTAACGTACCGCAACTTTAAGAGCGTTTCCCCTAGTAAACTATGATCTTAATCGATCAATTACTTTAAAGAAAAACAAATTTCAACAACTGAGTGAAAAGTTATTAACAAATGAGCAGTTGGTGTGTCATGTCAAGCCTGCATATCTATAACAACCTTGCAATTATCTATATTGTTTAAATAGTATTCAATACATATTTATTTTATTGTTCTTGTCACTTACAGGTAATAAAAATGGAAAAACCAATAATTCAATCAATACCAGATGATTTACTACGGAGCATCGATAAATTTACCAATTCAAAAAATGCAAATGATTTTGAGTCACTTCTCTATGCGCGAATAGAAATAGAGCTGTTAAACAATGACCAAGAAGCATACATCAATGAAAGGATAGCACAAACACTGAAACAATCGCTAACTGGATGCTCTATGTTTCCTGAATCAAAATCCGAGGAATGTTTATCTGAAAGTATCAGCAATCCTATATTTTGTTTATTTAAAATATTGTGCCAATCAGAAGAAAAATGCAAATCATACTTGTCGAGTCTAATTATTCAAGTGCACAATCAAATCCCAAACAGTGGTTATTTACTGCTTCATTACCTCAAAGTGCATGGAAAACTACAGACACGTCGAAAAGAAAACGTAACATCAGCATTCAAAGGAAATATCTACAAATCATTTTGCGAAATAGTTGACTCTCCTTTCGAAACTCAGCTTAAAACGGATTTGGAGTTGCTAGAGAGGAGTAGTTCACGAATGTTCTTCTGGATTCTTCCTGATTTGTTCAAGGAATACAAAAGTGCTATGCTAAACAACATCGATGTGTTATCCTTGTTCATAGGCGCAATCGATGCGAATAACCTCCGGGACATAATATTCAATGTTACCCAAGGCAAGCTCGTAATGTTCAGCAGCGATGACATTATCGATGTAATACGTGAAAGCTTGGAGTACGAAACGTTTGAGCAGTTCTGTTTTTGGCAACTAATACAGGCACACGATATTCCTCTGGAATCGTTTCAGGTGAGTTCAAAAATCAATTTAAGGCAAGGTGGGGCAAGATGGGTCAGCTAGTACATTTATTAATTCATTAGTTTGTTAATATCAACAGGTTCAATACAACTGCAATGCTTGCTTTTTCAAACCAGCATTGGCCCTACACTAAGTCTGGTGATGTTGAAATACACAAATATTATTAAATCAAGTAGATGACCGATCTTGCCCCACCTAGGCTAGGCCTTACATATGTAGAAAAAATCTCCCCATTCACAAACACATATGTTTGTATAAAATCTTTTATAGTTAGAACTAATGCTGTGTAGTTAAGATTTTATCTCTTTGCTTCCTTTTTTATTAAAAGAGTTAAATATAGTTAGACTTTGATCTTTCTCTAATATGTATGCATATTCGCTTCGAGATAGTTCCAAGTATTTCAGTCTTTGAAGCATATACGATCGTAGTCTAAATTGTAGAATGTTGGCGGCAAAGTTAACAGGTATTTTCTTTCAAATAATTTTTGAAAGCAAGGAGCGAAGCTGCAGATAGCGCATCACAAAACGGAAGTGCTTCTGTACAGTGTGTCGTCGTCGATACTGAGGTATGAAGGTTCAGCCTGGGTTGCAGAGCTGGAATCCAAGCAGAACCAAAGAAAACTGAGTACTACCTTCCGGCTCATAGTCATGCGAGTCGTGAGTGCGTACAGAACTATCTCGTGTTCATTGTGTTTTGTTGTTGTTTTACATCAACAGGCTTGGATGAAGGCCCAATGATGTTACCTTATCCACTATAGTAAAAAAAACATTCAAGCATGGTCATAACATCAAAAACATACAGTGTGTTTGGTTCCGAGTTTTACATATATTCAGGGTAGATAAGGCTACTAAAGTTATGGAAAAATCCCCATGAAACATATGTTCCGAAATGACTGCTAAATGAGTTATTCAACATTTCATGTTTTTTTTTATTTCCAACTTTGGTTAGCTATATTTTTTAATCTTAATGTGGATTTCTGACTTCAACATACCAAATGAAAGATTTAAGCCTTACCTATCAATGATCTTTAGAAAAGAACTCGATTAAATTTAATTATCATACTTAAAATTGAAAAGTATGTTGAAAGTACCAAAAAAACTGGTGAAATTTCATACATTAGGTAGTAACCTTGTAGGCTTTATGGTTTCTTTGTAATTATTGATTTACAACAGCCATAAAAACTTGTGACGCTTTCTTAAAATGCGCTATAGTCAACCTATTGGTTCGTACGTTCGGCTGTTGCAGTGGACTACGCACATGAAAATTTGGTAGAATGTTATTGTAAATGTTGAGCTACGTTCTTAACTTTCGATTACCGCACATCTCCTGCGCCGAAAGAAAACATAACTGCGGAGATGTTTCGCGGTATCGAGTATTGCTCAGTCTCAGCAGAACACACAACGAGAGACACCGAATTGGCGAATTCTGAGAGCGGAATGGAGAGAAGTAGGTAGTGGTAATAAGTCGATGTCCCTTTTATTTCATAGCGCTCGCAGTGCTGTTTCAATGGAATAGTATGCAGCTCCGCTGCTTCTGTATACACACTTAGATTTTTTTTTACAGAAGTCAGTATTTTTTTTACTGGAATTTTGGATTTTTCAGTAATCTCGGTTAAAATTCAAATGACTATTATTCGTAAAGATTGGAGGCGAACCAGCCCCAGGCTGAAAGCCTCCCTAATAAAGATAAATCAATCAATTATTCGTAAAGATTGGATAAAATCGACAAATTTTATTTTTTATCATTACACGGGGTTAACAGAAGTTAGTCTGTAAATTTTCGTAACACATTTTCTCAACTTTAAATTTTTCACAGATTTTTTAAATTGCACCGTATGCTCCATAATTTGTGCGACGTAGAGGCAGTCTTAGCATAAGGGTGTTACGAAGCGGTCGGCGTTGAACATTCAGGTCTATTTGCCTTAGGATTGCCTCGCAATCTGTACTTCCTTACAGGATATCGGCCACGGTTAGGGCTCTGCTTGTGTCTGTTCTAGTCCGAAGAACTTCTAGGTCGATAAGTTGACAACGGCTTTCGTAACTGGGTAATCGAAACGGATCATTCCAAGGCAATCTACGCAACGCAATTCTCTCGGCACCGTTGTTGTAGTTTGGGTTCCAAACCGCTGAACAGTACTCAATCGTCGATCGAACAAGCAAACAATAGAGAAATTTTAGACAGTAGATATCGGTGAATAGCTAAAATCCTAAAAATGAACCCTAAATTTCTTGACGCCTTATCGACAACATATGCAATGTGTTGCTTGAATGATAGCTGCGAATCCAAGATCACACCCAAGTCTTTCACCTGATTCACGCGTTCGATTGTCGAGCCAAGCAGGTCATAGCTAAATATTATCGGTTGTTGTTTTCGTGAAAACGTAAGAGCGGAGCATTTGGCTGGGTTCCCTACTATTCTGTTTTAACTGCACCAACTAGCGAATACATTGAACTGACGTTGAAGAAAGTGACAGTCAGCAATGGAGCGGATTCGTAGGAAGATTTTGAGGTCATCTGCATATGATGCCACCGAGGAGCTTCGATGACCAGATGCACGTCGTTGAAGTACAGTATAAAAATCAACGGTCCCATGTGGCTTCCCTGAGGTATATCCGATGTGGCGAAGAAGCCAGCTGATCTGCAATCTCCTATGGCAACCGGTAAGATATGATCGAAACCAACTCAGAATATTATCGCATACACCGAGCCTGCCGAGTTTAACAATTGGGACTGATATGCGATTATGGGCAGTATACTTGATGCTCAAGCTGGGCTCTTGCCAACCCGCATCGCTGAGAGGGATGCGGAGTACATTCTCGGGTGTACATCGACTCTGCATACCGAGCAGAAATTTTAACTTCGTGATGCGCTCGCGCAAAGCAGTAAACTTGGAGTCATGCTTGGAATGCACAGTTGTACACACCAACTACTCATTTGTTAATAAGTTTTCACTCAGTTGTTAAAATTTGTTTTTCTTTAAAGTAATTGATAGATTAGAATCATAGCTTTCTATAGATATACAAAGAGTATTCGCGAGTTACTTTATTTCCTCCCGCGACAATTTCAACCTCGCCTACAATTTGGTCCTTCTTTCCTTTAGCCTTTCCTTTCCGAAAATCGGCGCGATGGAAACGGCAGTGAAAAAACGAAACAATTTGTTCGCCAAATTAAAGTGGGAAAACGCGGCTTCAAAAAACATTCGGCAGCGGGAGCCCCATCAAGCTGAACTCACGGAGCGATTGGAGAAGTTGCGGGAAACTCGTGAAGCGTTTGAGGAAGTTCAGACCGAAATCGAGATGAATTGCGATGTACTACGAAACGATAACAGTGTATGCAACCATTCTGGAGGAATCTAGAAACCCGCCCAGTGACGATACGGTTGCCAGCATGTTGGATGACTTCAAGCAAGCTATCAAGTCCCTTGTGGAGTCGCAGCAACGTTTCCTGAAGGCACAAGCTACAGTTTCAACGAACCTCGGAGAGTTAGCGGTCCAGCAACGCCACTCCCAAACCGGACCCTCGTCAGCGACGAACGCGCAGCCACTCAACCGTGACCCGAACACAAATTTGCGCCTACCGGTTTTCACTATCCCAGTTTTTCGTGGCGACAGGAAGGAATGGAGAGCATTTAAGAATCTGTTCGAAACAGGAATTCACAACCGAGAAGACATCGGTAGCGCTTTAAAATTGCAGTACCTGCTGACGTAGCTCGATGGAGAAGCAAAAAGTCTCGTGAGCGCTTTTCCTATCTGTTGACGATAGACGTCTTGCCGCACTAGAAGGACTTTCTTCGCTAGTAGATCACTAGCACCGAGACGAATTCTGCTCAAACCGAATCACTGATCACAAGAAAAATTTGTCATCGACCGACCAGAGAAACAGACGACGTAGGTACTGTTTCCTTCAACGTGTATTTTGTAACTGAACTATTTACATAAATTTGCTCGTCCCTTATCTCCTACTGTGGTAGTGACCATTGGCTATCTATCGGTCGGTATCGTAGTACAAAATTCTCTCCCTCTCTCTGCTCGCAATTCAATAACAGTCCGTATCATTTGGAATGGTAATTTAACACTTAACTAATTGGATTGATATTTACAAATCTTATTCCTATCTCCAACATTCCGGCCACCTTGAAATCTGGAATGTTTCAATGTTTCTTAATCCTACTATTTACAAATTCATTCCCTTAAACTATTCACTGTCGAGGCTCCGATTCCGCATTATACCGTATTCGCTGGCTTAATGGTGACCGTATGATCATTATTCCCAGATTGATTCAACGAACGTATGGGATGACGGTAGATTCCTCGAAGTAGACCGGGAACAAGAAAAAAACAACAGGTAGATCATTCAAGGCAAATATATACGATTTAGGTTTGCGACTGAAAGTCCGACAGTTAGAAGATACTGAGAGGTTAGCACATATCATCGGCAAGAGATGTGCGTGTGAGAAAATTTGCGAAAAAATCTAAGGGCACCGGTGGGATTCGAACCCACAATTCCCATTCAGTACACGGGTGCATTGTCAATTATACAACGGTGGGCCTATGGTCTACGGATGTATTTGGCTAATGACATATGAGTTTCGAATCCGTTTCCCTCCCTTAGTCTTTTTGCGCAAGCGTTCTCAATACAAAACAATCGTCTATTACCGACGATATGTGCTTGTACCGCAACCACTCAGTATCGGTCGATGTTAACAAACACAACTCGTCTCTGTTCTACATCACACATGTTGGATACGGGATGTCCAATGCAGTATGAATAGAGCAATGAGCTGCTGGCCTCACCTCCGACCACCGGGCCATAGTGATGATATATCATCAAATTAATTTTCGATTTAGGTTAGCGACTGAAAGTCTTTGTCGATTCGTACTACGGAACGCACGACTTCTTTAGATGAGGCTGTGCGGAGAGTCACCACTCGGACGACGCCATCTTTTCCAGGATGAAGCTTCACGATTTTCCCCAGCGGCCAATTTGCTGGTG